ACAAACAAAACAAAAACCTGTCCCAGAATATTTTGAAGACTTCCATTTGTGGGAACCAAGAGAATACCCACTCCAGAGAGTACTAGAAAGGTATGAGGTAGTGATTTGTACTAACCATAAGACAGAAAAGCCCAGTGCCCATGACAACTAGAACGGATGGAGAGAGGAAAGCTGGCCTCTTCTGAACTAAAGCAAAGGTTCAGGACCGACCTGTAATGGGTGCCGGATGTCGCTGTGAAACGCCTGACCAGTGAGAAAGCGAGAACCAAAGGAAAAATGTAGCATGCAGACGGTGCTGGGAAATGCCTGAGCAGTGAGGAAGTGTGAACCAAAGGAAAACGTAGCATGCAGATAGTCCTGGGAACCCCATGGCTGTGGGTAGAAATTGTGCTTATATCCCTCTCTCTCCCTGCCCCTAGCCCCCAAACAGCAAAGCAGTTCTAAAGCTTAGATAAAGCCACAAGGACAAGCAGAGCCATGGTGCACTAGACAGCAGACAAGAGACAGAAACAACCTTTGGAAGTGAACAAGTGGTAATTCCCCCAAGCAGGTGGAGCAATCCAAGCCTCTGCAAACAGCAAAGGCCACCAGTTCATCTCCCAGAGCTGTGGGAAGAAGCAGGTGCCTTCTCTATAGAGGGGTAAGAGGGACCAAGAAGAGACTAGTAGGAGAAAAAAAAAAGGAGAGGACTGCCAGGGTTCCTCTCTATCACCAAAAAGCTGGTGACTCCCTCAATCCCATTTCCATAGATGGCATCAAGTTTACTATCTGAAGATACTGACTCAGACAAGTTCCAGGCTTGGTCACACCAGACTCAGGAGAAGGTCAGACACAATACTGAATCCAAGGATAGTAAATGATAGAGTAGATGCTGGAGAGTAAGACACGAACCTTCCCTATCTTTCCCTTACTCAGAAACCTAGTAGCAAAGAGAGTGCATTTTGCCATATTTATAGTCCAGAGTCCCTCTCAAATGGCTAGTCCACAGCCACCTCAGGGAAGTCCACCATCCATAAAGCTCATGAAAAAAGCATGTAAATGGACTATCTTTAGTATGAATAGCCAAGATCCCAAATACCCAAGGAATGCTGCTGGCACAAAACACTGAGTCCCAAGCAAATGGAAGAAAGGGTTTGTAAGTAATAGGTGCAGTACAGAAAGCCATACATGAGGAAAAGTAAAATGTTGTGAAACAGGAACAATGTACTTTTAATGGAATCTTCTACAAGCAAGGATGAGCTCCTTCCTTGGTGACTGCAGCACCCTTGGCATTGTCATAGCAGTGAGACACGGCAGTGAACAGACAGAGATCTCTGGTCTAGCGGAGCCTGATTTCTAGAAGGGGGACTGAGAAGTCAGCAAGTCATTGGCACAGTGTATTGGAAAGGACTGAGAGCTAGGAGAGAAGCTGAGCATGGGCAGAGGGGAGTCAAGTACCAGGAGAGGAGAGAAGGGACAAGCTGAACTCTTCAACAGGATGGTGATGGCTGAACAAATACACAGGATAAGAACATTACCCATGTGGCATCTGGAGGAAGATCATTCATGCTCGAATAGCCAGCATGAAGGGCCTGAAGTGAAGGTCCCTGGCTAGTTCAGGGTGCAGCAGGGGAGCTACTATGACAGGGACAAGCCAGGAAGAAGGACAGTAGAAGATGAGGACAAGCAAGGAAGGAGGCACCAGGTAGGCCATTTGAGGACTGTGGCTTTTATTGGGTAGCATGGAGAGGCATATTTGGGAGCAGAGATGTGACATGCTCTGGCAAATTTTAAAGGATCACCAGCTGCTGTGTGGAGATTCGGCACCTAAATAAGCAGGGTGAGCTCATTACTGCCTGGTGCCCTGCTCCTGTGGGAGACTCCTGCTATCCCTCCGTCCTAAAGGCTGCTGGCCCTGTCCTGTGGCTCTCCTCTCCATGTTCTCCTTCTAGTTAACCTGGACATGTTCTCTAGTATCCATCTGGTCCCACTTGGGACCTCTTCTGATGAGCCAGAATGACTCCATCTTAAGATCAGTAGTTATTTTGTTACAAGGTCAAAATAAGTTCATTTATGTTTACTGTAAAACTTGAGTTTAACCGTGCCTTGACCCATTTCCTAGAATTTTACATGTTCCTCACCCTATATATCCTGACCCCCACCCCCATAAGATAAGATGTTCTGCCAAGTTCCTACATAGCCAAAATTCCCTTTGAAATCCCCTAGCCTTACAGTTGGAGGCTGTAAAAACCCTACTTCTCCTATGTTCAGACCTGACCTCTCAAATCTCATATTTTTGGTAGAGGCAGGTTTCTGACAAGCTATATTGTGCACATATAATAGAGCTTGTTATAAATTTGGCTAATTTGGATGGTGGCCTTTACTCTCTTTTGGTGGGATTAACACTTCCTTCCTAATTTTTTTCTGTTTTTTGTTTTGTTTTGTTTTGTTTTGTTTCTTGAAACAGAATCTCATTCTTAAAATACTAATATGTTTCTTGATTTTTAGATAAGGCCTCACTATGTAACCTAGCCTGGCCTTGAACTCCAGATCCTGCTCTAGATCTCAGATTATTAAAATGCTTTTAACTGGTTCACATCTGAAATCCCTACCCTTGGGAGAGGGAAGCAAGATTCCGTGGATGAGCCTGCCAATCTGAAAAGTATCCATAGCCACTTGATGGGCCTCTGAGACATTTGGTAAAAGTTAATACTGTGTATGTGAAAAAGTTAAAACAGTTCTAGAAATCTTACTGTAGTTCTAAACTACAGGAAAAGCAAATTTATAAGGTAATGGAGACTAGCCATACTCCCCTGTACAATGATAAGCCCATTTCATGTCATATGTAATATAATGCAATCATGTGTGTGGATTACTCAATGTACGTTACATGTAGTAAACACTGAAAATGTTATGACAGCTACTGAAATGACAGACGTGTGAGTGAGATGGGTAAATGCCCAATGTTTGCAATTTAAACAGAACAGTCCGTGTATATTGTCTACAGATAAGACAATAGGTCCCAGACAAGCAGCTAAAATAGTTTGTAAAGAATGAGCATGCTGGATGGGGAACTCAGGTCGGTGCCAGGGAAGGAGTTACTATCTCTTATTCTCAGCATTTTTTTTGTACTGTTTTTTTTTTTTTTTTCAACCATCCAAAACCTAGATAAACCAACTACACAAATGAACAAATGAAAACTATCCTTAAAAAGCACTTCTGGAATGTTTTTTAAAGAATCACCTAAAATGTTTTAATGAAAAGCTTTATAAAATGCTTCTTGGAAATTGAAAGATTGATTTTGTATAATGAATGAGCAGCAGGCACCAGAGAATCTTAATTTCCTCCCCTCTGAAAAGCAAAGCCACAAACAGTATGAAACTTTGAAAGTGTGTTTTGTCTAAGGAATTGAATCACACACTTCCACCCTCTGATTGTGTTCCTTTGGCTTCTCGAGATACCAAAGAAGGGGCCTTTATTTTAGCACTCGGGTGGGGGCGTAGCACGGCCATCTGTACAGCACATTCGGCTACAGGAAGGAGCCGCTGAGACTAAAAAGGCTTGCTGTGCCAGTGCCGCGTGAGAGAGCGAGGTGGTTTTCACTGCCTCATTGTCTTCTAGTACTGTTGATACGTGAACTCTAGATTCCTAGCACACACGCTGCTCACACGACAGGTTTCCCTTCTGTATTGCGGTTTTTCTTGACCCACTGGGCTCCCTTGATAACCTCCTCCTATGTGGTACGCAAACAAAGGTCTGCGCACGCGCAGAGCGAAGGATGCAAAGGGAGAACGTTCCCAGCAAGCACACAGTGAGCGCTCAGAGCCTGCAGGAGGACAGCCTCAGAACAGCTAAATAAAGGAGCCAGTGCAGAAGTGTCTCAAGACACTTGGGAAGAACAGGTGGGGGAGTCCAGAGGGATCACAGGACACCTGAGGGAGGCCAGAGAACCCACACTGTGGGCTTTGAATTCAGGGCTGAAACCATTGTCCTCTTCACATCAGGGACAAGGAGAGAAATAATACAAGCAACCTAGGGGCTGAGCTGGGTGAATAAGGCACCGCAGTGGATAACAAGGGACCTGGGGGTAGCTTTTAGCAAAGAGAGCGGTTAGTCATTTGAGGTTACAAAGACTCTACAGCAGAAAAGAACAGAAAAGGGCGTATAAGGAAACAGTAGGGAAGAAAGCAAATTTGGTGATTGAGAGAATGAGTAGGGGAAGGGCCCTTGATCAGTCAAATATTACATTAAATTTAGCTTTGCTCAAGAGATTGCAAAATAGGATTTCCTGGACACAGGATCTTGAAAATAATGTAAACATCTCTTATTTGATGCTTGGCAAATTTGTCTGATGAATTTCTGACTGCTGAAATGGGCAGGAAAATTCAGTACGGTATTGATAATCTCTTTGTCCCTTTCCCCCTGGAATATACTAAATTCTCGGGACTGTATCTTGTGCCTAAGAAGAGCTGGAGCGTAGGCTTTGTGTAAATCCTGTTGCAAACCCAAAGTGGCATTCCGTGTGTGATCTGTGTGAAGCTGCATTTCCTGAAGCACCGTAGTTGCTTATGGCATTTGGCTCTGACTCATCCTACTTGACTTCAGCTTTCCTAAAATATTTATCTATCTACAGTTACTTGCATTTTGGTTTTCTTCATTTCGTGATAATAAAGTTAAAACAAAACTCCTTTAAATACCACAGTGGCTGGGGGGCGGGGGAACATGCCACGATTCACAGCGCCATCTACTGGCAGCAGGTGTATTGACAGGCTTTGTCTCTGATGTTTTGTTCTGTTTTTATAGTTTGTATTTTGAAGACAGGGTTTCTCTGTGTAGCCCTGGCCATCCTGGAACTTACTCTGTAGACCAAGCTGGCCTCAAATTCAGATATCTATCTGCTTCTGGCATACGCCACCACCTTGCCAGCTGAGTTGGTTAAGCAGGGGAATTATCTGTAATGCCAAAGTCACCTACCACTCAGTCAGCCAGCAACATGTCAGTTTTCTTTCTCTGTCACCAAGGTGTGGCGCGGCACCCTGGCCCGAATGCGGTACAAGAGGACCAAGGCAGCTCTGACAATAATCAGGTACTACCGGCTCTATAAAGTGAAGTCGTACATCCACGAGGTAGCTAGACGCTTCCACGGTGTCAAGAACATGAGCGACTACGGGAAACATGTGAAGTGGCCAACCCCACCAAAAGTCCTGCGGCGTTTCGAGGAGGCCCTGCAGTCGATTTTTAATAGGTAAGAACTTGTTGGCAAGTGCCATTTTCCTATACAGTGGCACACTCCCAAACCCTAGAGCGTGGTCTTGGCCCAGCTCTTCGCTATTGTGACATTTACCTCTCCTTGTAGCTGTGTTTGATCATTTTGTTTTCAAAGAGCATCTGCTTACCTCTGAAAGTAATGGAACTGTCAGCATTTTCCTCCTGTAGCACTTGACAGCAGCATGCCACAACGCCTGGATCTACGCCACATTTAAGACAGGCTACCAGCGTGCTGCCCCATGTCCTGTCATCAGCAAAAGGCCTACATAGCTCCCTTACCATAAACACACATACTTCAAGCTAGCAAGCCACATTGATCCTGTCAGAGCATCAGCTCTCAGTCCAGCCGTGCCCTAGACTCTGGAGGAGTTCCTGCAGCCCCGATGCCCTAGGCCCACCCAAGAATCTGTCTGATGGAGTCAAGCATGAGGTCCAGGCCTCTAACAGTTCCCAGGTGGCTTTAAAATACAGCCAAGGGAGAAAACAACTATTTTAGGCCACAATTTTTTTTTTAAATACCCATAGAAAATTTTGGATTTTCCCAACTGATTTTTTTTTTTTTTTTTTACGGCCTGCCCTGAATCTGAGATTGTCTTTGCCTACATTCTTCCTTCTGACTTTTTAGCTTATTTGTTGACAGCGTGATTGCAGCAGTGACAGTGGCCCCTGCACTGTCTTCAGGTGGTTCCATGCCTCTGTAAACACTGGACTCCACAGATTCTCAAGCTCCTAATGGAGAATGCTACACTTCTTTCTTTTTCTTTTCTTTTCTTTCCTTTTTTTTTTTTTTTAAGTCTGGCTGTCCTGGACTCACTCTGTAGAGCAGGCTGGCCTTGAACTCACAGAGATCCACCTGCTTGTGCCTCCCAGGTGCTGGGATTAAAGGCCATGTAGCGCCACGCCCAGCCATGTTGTAGTACTTTAGTAGAACCTGTATTCTTTGAGCCATCTCTGGATTATTTCTAATACAGAATACAGCATAGATATTCTGTATGTGGCTGTTATTGTTGCTGTGTTGCTTAGGAACTAGTCAAAAGGAAAATCTCTACATGTCCTCAACAGTTACAACCACTGTCAGCACAGTTAGGCTAGCCATCTGAGGCCAGTTGTCAGCACAGT